CTTCATTATTGGAGATGTAATTCCAAAAAGAAAGTGAGCTCGTATTTCAAAAAGGGTAATAGAAACTGGAAGACATTCTTAACAGCCAGTGTCTTCCATCATGCCTTAATCCCACCAATGTGAAAACTGCAGCTGGGTGTTTGGAACCATAGGGTCATAGCAATGAAACTCATAACTTGTTTGTTCAAACAAGTAATAGAGGTGACAGTAGAAATCAAAAATGTAAGACTTTTCCCTTTGCTTGATRCTCCACTTTTCTGACTTTCCTAGTGTTTGCAATACTTCTATAAGTGCTTTTATTAGTAAGTACTTGTAAAATGAAGGAGGAAAAGGCGTTACAAAGGCTTATTTTGCATAAGAAATGTGAGAGACAGATTATGTTTTATGTTATGACCTAGAGAAGGAGGAGTCAAACTGGACAACAACCCTAGACAAATGCAATTYGCAAAAGTGTGACTGTTTTGAAATGGTTTTCGAGAAGCAAAGTTTTCCATGGTTTGAGGTTTTTAGCTCAACAGCTGCAAGTTGTGACTTGGAGATGCAGGTATTAAGCTGGCTTTAAACCTGAGACTACAGATTGTTTTAAATGTAGCAAGTCTGATGATCRGAGTCTTTACAATTGAAACCATTGCTGAATATTATTGTACCCCATCAACTAGTTGAATAATTGGCAGCTACATCAATGTAGTCCCAACTCATGTGATTTCTTGGCTTTTTTAAAGTGTTCTAGGACTGTAGTTCACGTGTATCATCAAAACTATGATAAGATATATGTGTGTTCTGTTGAAATCAGRGTAAACAGTAATATTTGTGTATTCCAGTATAAAGATGGAAATAGCATTTAAATAATATTGGAAGTTTAATTTTTTTTTAAGTTTTGAGAATTGTTTGATATGAATAAAGATTCTTATTTTTTAGCTTATGACTTTTTGAAGTTTTCAAATACATACTGTGTAGTAGTCTGTCAAACATTTAACCAAAGGTATTTTGGGAGAGTGAATATGTATTTCCTGATTATTTTTTGTTTTGAAGTTGGGATGGACTGCAAGTGGGAAGCTGGAGATCACACACTACAGTTTTAGTGTGTTACCTTTATCTTAAATCTTGTTATGATAAAAACTGATTTGAAGGTGACAAGTGGTCTGTACATACTGCAGAGAACCAAGCAAATGGAGCCATTGCTTATTTGGGTGTGGAATGGGAGATAAAGCTTGCCCTGAAATAGCATCTGTGCATTAAAAATGTTCAGGTGTATATTTTGACTTCCACATTTTTTCTTAGAGTCTTTCTAATAGCTTTATGTTAGAGAAAGAAAAGTTTTAGTTTATTTAGCTGCTCTAAAGCTGTAAAGGATTTTTCATATTTTGCTAAGAATATAATGATCTAATCTTGCAAAAAGAAAAGATTCATGTACGACATGAATTTTACCGTGCAGTCATGTAAGATATACTCTGCTTTCTAGGAGTACAGTCAACTGTACTTCCTATTTCTCCCTTTTCTCTGGAGCAAGAGAGTTTGTCTTCCTGCCTCATTATTTTAAATGCTGTTATTCAAACTGAGTAACAGTTGAATGTCAATTGTTACTGGGTTTGGTTTTTTTTTTCTATAAAAATTCATCTAGGAAGCATCTTCTGTCTTCTATTGTACTTTTCCAAGAATATTGCTTTTWAAAAAACACCAATCAAACAAACCACAAAAAACACTAGCAAAAAATACAGAAAAYACAAGCTTTAAACTAYTTAGCAGGCATTTTTGTGATTGAATTATCCAGTATCATGTGTGCAAACAATTTAAAGTATAATTTGTATTTATTTTTCATTGATGGWGGAGCATTCCAACTACTTCTGTAACTAAATCCTTTCCAATGTGGCTTAGTTTTGTTTTTCCATCACTGATTTATTCCCACAGAAAGTTCAGTATCATTTTAATATTTCTGAGCAGTTTCTTCAACCTTAAGTGCTGCATGTTGAAAGACAATACAAAAAATGCACATTAAAATGTTGCAGTGATGACATAGGTTGCTAAAGGATGGACAGTTTCTCTGAATTTGTTCAASTAACTTCATATCTATTTGAATACACATACATAACACTTTGTTTCTTTGCTGTGTGCAGAGTTCTATATGAAGGGAAGGAACGCGTAATTTCGGGCTGTGAGGTGATTCAGGCTACTCCATATGGCCGYTGCGCTAATGTTAACAACAGCTCGGCTTCCTCGCAACGCATCTTCATCACCTACCGAAGGGCTCCTGCAGTGCGACCTCAGAATTCATTGGCAGTGACAGATATCTGTGTTATTGTCACCAGCAAAGGGGAAACCCCTCCTCACACATTCTGTAAAGTGGATAAGAATTTAAACTGTGGTATGGTGAGTATTTGTAAGCTTGCGTTTCCTTTTTTTTTTTTTTTTTTTAACTCAAACCCCTTTTTTTACGTTTAGAGGAGGAGCCCTTGAGCTCTTCTTAGTACTATTATAATTGTTTTCGCCCTTGAGCTCTTCTTAGTACTATTATAATTGTTTTCTATCACTACATTGTAATTCCTTCATTCTTTATACCATGTGGGAGACATCAGTTTTCCAGGTTTTGTTGCTTTGATTTCCTTTTGTGTTAGAAATTACTGTTTTGTACTGATTACTCACTACTTCAGTTTGCATATTCATGGCTAGTRCTATTTAGGAGTAGTGCAATGAGATTTTAGGATTTTTTTTAAAAATTATCTCTTCACCAGCCTTTSTGAATGCTGACACTTGGGATGAATCATTATTTTCTTAGTTTTTTGTGATTCATGTGTTATTAAGATGTTATAAGCATAATCATTACTGCTTACAGCTGCTCAGTATGTTTTGTTTTAATTGATTCTCTTTGATTTAGTCTGTTTTGCATTTTGTTTACTTGGAGTGAATAAGTGGGTTTTGTTGAATGGTAAAGTGTATTTAGACAAACTGCAAGAGCGCTATCTCAATAAACGGTTTGTAGAAGTAGGATAAAAGCTTCAAGTTAAGATGATTAGAACTTCACTTCCCCTTATGAGATTCCCATGAGCAYTTTTAATTAACCAAGGAAACATGAAGGTGGAAATGGATCTGCCTCACTTTTGCCTGTACTTTCGTTGAAAGAAGTCAGAGTAGTGTGATAGTGTGGTTATTTTATGTAAATCCTGTAATCTCTAGAAAATGAGAGAAGGGTGAATTTCTTGTTTTCATTRTTTACATGCACTCAGCAGCCAACCACTCATTTTATTCCATAATGATTTCTGTTAAAATGTTTGACTTGTTTTAAAGGGAGTATATGTAATATATCCAATGCTTGATTTCTGTTGCTTGTTGTCGTCTTTCCTGRTTCTGAGACAAAACTTTTGTCTTTCAGTGGGGTTCCAGTGTATACCTTTGTTACAAGAAGTCTGTGCCAGCTTCTAACTCTTTAGCATATAAAGCTGGTAAGTAATTTTAGAAGGTACCTAAACATGCTAACATGCTAGAAGGATTCAAATATCATGTTGAAATAAGGCAGTAATTTAAAAAAATTAATTGTTGTCCATCAGAATATTGYTCCTGGAGCAKGCCAGTTGAAATCAGCTTCTAGAAYGMCTTCTTTGCTCTCCCTATTTTTTCCCAGGAGGAAAAAAAAAGGTTTTGATGGGAATAGTATTGTTCTGTATTATTTTAGTTCTTATCRTGACAAGCTTGGTAGCTTAGGAGCTCTAGCAAACACTTGTCTTAGCAAACATTTCAGATGTAATAAACTACCTCATATATCTTGCATTGGTGATAATGGAGGAGTAATTAAAATCCTGTTCAGCCTTACTTGTATTTCTTTCTATGTCTAAACATCTTCTGTTTATTTTGAAAGTTAAATGTGTATCTTCCCTTCAGTTCCACAACTGTTTTCTTGTTCCTTATTTGAGGAGAGTAAAAAATATTCTGAACAATACATGATGAGTCTGGCTTGTAAAAGTTTTTTAATGYGTTGCTGCAGATTATATTTTGTTTCTGAAGAAGCCTAAAAAAACTTTCAGAAGTTTCTGCTGAGCAATAAATGCACCAAATTCCTCAGAAAAGGAGTAAACTACCAAACAGAAGTTGAAAGCATACATAATGAAGTCAGTGTACCACAGAACAAGCAAGATGAGCAGCAGTAGTAAACCCATACTTGTGTGCCTTTTYTCTACCAGCAAGAGTTAGATACGTTTCTGAAAGCTAAATAAAGAATTTGTTTAAATTGAACATAGAGAGTAGCAGGGAATGGTAGCAGTCCGCTATTTTCAGTGAAGGTATTACTGATTTTTTACAGCAAATTTTCACTTGCTTTATAGGAATTTCTAATAAAATCCATTCCAGTGGCACATATAAATAGCACAGGTAATTCCAAACTGGTTTGATATTAAAATCTTAACTATGTGCTGTGTTTGAGCAGTTACTAAATGTAAAAGCTCAAAGGATAACTTCAGTATTTCTTCAGTGTTTTCAAATGATTGTTACTTGGATGGCTTAGTCTTACTGTCAAGTGAAAGGCTTTATCTTTGCAGCTATAATCTTCAATTATAAGGTTCAGGTAACTGTCCGACATAGCTATATTTTGTGGAAAATATATTGCTTGCAATATTTAGGGCCTACAGAGCAAATGTGCTTACTTTTCCTTTCCCCATTCTTGAGGTTTAATTTTCAGATATCCTCAAGAGAACTATGAATCATTTCCACTGTCAGACTCTGTACCTCTCTTCTGCCTTCCTATGGGAGCTACTATTGAGTGCTGGGACTCTCAAACCAAATATCCACTCCCAGTGTTCTCAACATTTGTACTGACCTGCTCTTCTGCTGAAAAGGTATGGCACYACTCTGTGTTTTTGCTTTTATTTCAGATGACTGCAACAGAGTAGATAGGGATTGTTTCTTCTGTGTTTGAGAAATATATTATCTAATACTTCCCTTATAAAATTATATTTCTTAAGCCTTTGTGTAAGATGAAAGTGAAACAAAACAGGAAGCAGCTGGAAGAGTATCTGCTGTTTACTCCTGCGTGGGCTGAACCATACACTTAACAAAACCAAGGCTCACAGCACATGGATTTCCCTGTTCTTTCATGKAACAGGAATGGAAGTGTAGTCTACATGGTAAACCGTGTGTTAGCATGTTACAGTTTTCATGTGGTTACCTTAAAAGGCACTTCTATGTGACTTTATATAGTAGGGCTCTATATATCTCTGCATGTGAATTGGAAACTAGTTACCAGAAAACAGGAGGGCAGGGAGAGGAACGGTATGTGCTGCGAGGTAGCACATAGTAGGTGAAAGGCTCTAATGTGCTTCCAAGACTTAGTGATCTTGTTGAGTTTGCATGAAGGGACAGATGCATAACATGATCTGTCTGCTGAATCTCTGTAAGGCCACCAGCATACAAAGGCACCAAAAATGTGTTGTATGACTTGGTCTGCATGTGGGAAGGTAGTAGAGGTACTCCTGGTCAATCAAGGGAGCCTTTGCTTAGGGTTGTTCTCCAGCTGTTGTTTCAGCTTGCCAACACTTTGTCTGTGTGAACTGTATGAGGAGAGTAAGTGTTTGTAATAGGTCATTGGCTCTCTGTATAAATGTGTGATTAGCTCTCCAATAAACAGCAGTTAGGCTGTGTTGGTGATAACAGCTTAACTTCCACACTGTCTCACTCCCCTGACAGGGAAGTTGATATACTTCTCCATTTCCAAATAGAAAAAAAAAATCTCCAAAATATGAATACTTCTTTTGCAAGGAGGGATGCAGTAGCTGCTACTGTTTTCTTTCCTTGTTCTTCTTTTGCTAAGCTTGCCAGAATAACTTAGTTATGGATCTCAGACAAATAGGGAAGGAATATTAGAAGAGGTTGATAGCTGTTTAGCTTGATAAAATAAGGAAGTCAAAACTAAAATAATTTTATTGTTTAGTTTGGTAATGATGGGGGAACTTAGAGAAACATTTCATGAGGGTTTGGGTTTGAGGTTTTAATGGTGTTTTTGACCCAGATGATTAATGGATAAGGTTTTGTCCCAGAATTAAAGTTTGGTTCCTTCCCTTTCAATTTACTGAGTATGAATATTTATTTGAGGAAGGTGCAATGAAAATGAAGAAGGGAGTTCAAAGCATTTTGTTTATTGGGTTGCTTTGTGTATGTTGCATTAATAAGAAGTTGTTTCATAAGATGCCAGCAAAAGCACTATAGTGTGTGCAAACACCGAAGACTTAAAGATGCTTCAAAAGCTTTAGCCCAATTTTCTGTTAAATACTGTACCTTCTTCGCTATTTTCCTTCATCTTTTAGGTTTACGGTGCTGCTATCCAGTTTTATGAGCCTTATCCTCGGGAGCTGCTAACAGAGAAACAGCARTCGCAGCTGGGTCTTCTGACAACTGTAGAGAGAAAAGTGATTACTTCCAAGTCCATCAATTCCAACAAATGCATCTGTCTTCTCTCACACTGGCCTTTCTTTGAAGCATTTAGAAAATTTCTTATGTTCATCTACAAACTCTCTGTCTCTGGACCTCATCCTCTTCCCATTGAGAAGTATGTAAAACACTTTGTGATTTGACCTGGGAATGTAGTTATAAGCTCAAGAAATCGTGTGATTTGTGCATGTCACAGTTGCTTAGTTGGTATAGTTGATCCATCATCTCGTTTGCACTGTTTAGCTTATGTTGTAGTGATAGAAATTATTGCTGCTTCTGTTTATTAGTRCTAGCTCTTGCAGTGTCAGCAAAGCTAAATGGATTTTACTCTGGGWTTTTTTTTAGAATATGTCAAGCCTGTTTACCTTTCTTGTAGCTRCACAGAGAATGGCTGGGCTGTGATACATGCTACATTTTCAGTCCTGAGTTTTAGCTTAATAAATATAAGCTCAGGAATGCTGGACATTAGCAGCAAATACTTATATCTGTTTCCAAGCACTGCAGGTAATTCAGACTGTCTGTGAATGTGTGTGTAAACTCTGCARAAGATGCTTGTCATGGTTCTGAAAGTTTGCTGAAAAAGATTTTACCTTCAAAGCTATTTATTAGATATTTGGCAGTGAAATATATGAAGTGTGTACTTTCTCTTAGCAGAATCTCTTTAAAAACTCCAAGAACAGCATCAGGCTGCCTGGGATTTTAAGTGTCTTGCTGAAATGCCARTGTATTTGTATATTTTGCTTACATACCAGAAGCTGCCAGTATTAGTTTTCAGGCACAACATGTGAGTGAATGAAGCTTCTTTGTTTTGGTTTTCATAAATGGGCTCTTAAACTTATCAAAAYAGTAAAGAAATCTGAACAGTCTTTCTAAAACATGCTACGATATTAATTCTARAATTGTTTTCAGGCCTTCATTACTCCCTGGTGGTGTTTTTCTAATATCTTGTCTTTTTGCAGGCATATATCCCATTTTATGCACAATATACCTTTCCCATCACCACAAAGGCCAAGGATTCTTGTGCAGGTAAGCARAACATGTGCAACCATTTTAAGATGCAGCAGTGGAAAACCACCTCTTGTCTTTGGTTTTTTCCTTTATGCTTTTTACTTGACTTTGAATGCACACCTGCTGGAAGGGAGAGGGGAGGAGATGGATGGGCTGGCCTTCTCTCTCGTTGATATCAACCTGGTACAACTTAGCGAAGCAAACAAACTATTTCAGACTTCAGATGGTGTGCAGTTCTGAAACATCTGCCACGTATTACCCTTTCATTTTATAGGTACCATTTGCATTACCTCMGTGGTAAGGTTGTTTTCTGTCTTTCCCTGGCTTGTCCACCCATTGCTATGGGTCAGAAGTTAGCCCCTGGGGCACTGTCTCTTGTGCTTCTCTGTTTAATTACCTAGCAGCARTTAAATGCGCAACACTGAGTCACAGACATTTCCTGTAATTCTCAGAATTGTTCCAGTGACTAATACAAGCTCTGTTCACTTAGTGAACCCAAGGACATTGTGTGTGTGTGTGTGCCAGGCAGTTTATGAGACTATGGATATATATATTTATACTGGAATATTATACTGTATTAAGTTTGGGGTTGTTCGTGTCAATCACATACTGCTTTATGTGTTTCAGCTTTCTGCCCATGATGCATTAATATTGTCACAGCCAGTTTCTACACCATTGCCATTAAGGTATCATTATTAATGCTTTAAATGTATGCTRCTTGAAAAAGTCAGAGGCAAGTAGGAGTCAGTCATAGAAGGAAGTYAAATATTAGTGCAATATCATCAGGTATTATAAACAGGAAGCTCAGTATGCATTTATAATGTTGCACAGACTTGTCTTGACATAGATGTGTCCCTTGTGGAAGTATAATATCACTAATTATCCTGAAATAAAGATGAAGTGCCAGATTATTGTAGGAACTCTGGAAGAATAATAAGGTGTTTGTGAGAAAGAAAGTAACACATATTTAAAGATYGTGCATTTTCAGAACAGCGAGAAAAATTTGTTTATAATACCATAGAGACTGCTATCTTGCTCTTTTTGACTTTTTTAAATCCAAGAGAGACAATAACATCAAGTAGGTGAAATCCATGAATGCATAAATGTGCAAACATTTTGGAAATTCAAAACTATACATAAAAGTTGGTATTTGTGCTTGAAGGTTGATGTGCTTGAAGTCTCTGTGGATACTGCCTGCATCTTCTGTGTTAGACCTCATTATGATTGTGACATGTGGTTTTGCTTTAATGCTTTCATTGATTTTCAGTTTGGTTTTAAGTTGAAAACCAAAATCTTCTCCCCTTTTATTCTCTTGACCTCAAAAGAAGAGGAATYCCATATTTAATCACATTTTTTACAGAAGCACTTAGGTGGAAAATTGCAGCCAGCCACCAAATGGCAAAGCAGTCATAAGCACTTTTTTAAGGACAGATTTTACACCCCTGTACTCATAGATATGATTACAATTCCTAAATGTGTACAGTTCTAACAAATGGAATGAAGGATAAACTGTAGAAACTAAAGGCATGTTGCTCTCAATGATGGGTTAATTTTGACTCATACTGGAATTTGATGCTGTGATTCTAAGATCAAATGGATACTCTAGTTTAATATTTTTGTATGAGATAGCTGGTCATGTGAAACTGCTGGTGTTATTTTTGTTTGAATTAGTTATTAACCAATTAGATTTGTCTTACTCTTACAAAGACAAGATGTCTGTGCATCTATGAGACAGAGTGYCATGAACTACACAAATTCATCAGTAGCATGGTTTAGCATACAGTTCTTTGGAAATAGAATTTGAATTTAGGTTCCTTTGGGGAAGTATAAGCCTTAAAATGACACAATAACTATTAGATAGGTTAGGTATTTTATGTATCTTAATATCAGCACCATTCAACTATTTGATCCCAAACAGTTGTCAGAATTTGATAGTAGTGAATGTTTTTTTAAACCCTGTAATGTTCTTCTTTTCTTTCCCCTTCCCATCCACTCCTTAGTGGAGCAAACTTTAGCACTCTGCTCATGAATCTTGGACCTGAAAACTGTGCCACTCTGTTACTCTTTGTATTACTAGAAGGCAAGATCCTCCTCCATTCCCTTAGACCAGCTGTGTTGACAGGAGTTGCTGAAGCTGTAGTAGCTGTAAGTACAAAGCGTTCTGTACAGCAGTGAGAGAAATGTATTTAAACACCACAGTTGTAACAAGGCTTTAAGTTAAAATGAGTAATATACTAAATGGTCATTTTTCCCAACAATAGCATTTAGTTCAATTGCCCTAGCAAATAACTCTTAGAAAGATTGTCATTTTTGCATAGCTGAGAGTTGTACTGTAAATAAGTGATCAAACTTAGGGTATTTTTTTGACRGTTACAAAGCTTTTAGCAATTTAATTTCAATGTCCTGCATGTAACTTCTTGGTTTTTCTTGTACAGTGTCTATTGTCTTGTTTTAATGCATTTATTTCATTTAATTTTTCCTTCAGATGATATTTCCATTTCAGTGGCAATGTCCATATATCCCCCTCTGTCCTTTGTCTCTGGCCACCGTACTCAGTGCACCTCTTCCATTTATTGTTGGAGTTGATTCACGATACTTTGATCTGTATGATCCACCACAGGATATTGTTTGCATTGACTTAGACACAAACATGGTCTACATGTAAGTTCTATGGAGATTTTACATTTTTCTGTTGATGGAGAGATTAATTAAGTGCTCGGGAGATAAAACTGTTGCATGTTGTTTCATCCAGGATGGTTTCTTTCTTTCTTATTGTCCCCTGTTCTTTTTCTCTTGTCCCCTTTTTTCTCTTCTTGTCCCCTTTTTTCTCTTCTTGTCCCCTTTTTGTCTCTTCTTGTCCCCTTTTTTCTCTTCTTGTCCCCTTTCTCTTCTTTTTCCAATGCTTCAAGGCAAATTAAAACTTAATAAGTCAAGGATTGTCACTTCCTATAAAAATCTGATGCAGATCTTGCTGTGAATATAGTAACAGTGGTAAATGACTASGGAAAGGATTGTCCCCCTCTACTGGACGCTGGTGAGGCTGTGTCTCAGAATCTGTGCTTAGTTCTGGGCCCTTCACAAGAAAGACAATGAGGTGCTGGAGCATGTCCAGAGAAGGTGGTTAAGGGCCTGGAGCACAAGGGTTGTGAGAAGCAGCTGAGGGAGCTGGAGTGTGTAGTGTGTAAAAAAAGAGCCTAAGGGAGACGTTAGCACTCTCCACAATTGTCTGAAAGGAGGTTGTAGCCRGGTGGAGGTCAGTCTCTTCTCCCAAGTAGCAAGCAGCAGGATGAAATGAAATGGCCTGAAGTTGCRMCAGAGGAGTTTTAGATTAGATAGTAGGAAAACTTTCTTCAGGCATTGRTCAGACATGGTCAGGCATTGGAACAGGCTGCTGAGGGAAATGGCTGAGTCACCAGCCCTAAGGCTATTTAAAAGACATTGGTTTAGTGGYGGACATTGTTTTGCAATGGTGGTCATGGCAGTGTTAAGTAAGTGGCTGGACMTGATGATTGTGAGGGTGTTTTCCAATCTACATGAACAAGAATGCTTCCGGATCTTTCGTAACAACTCTTGATGCTGTCTTGYACTTGGACTACTTTATGTTAGTGTTAATAAAGAAATTTTCCTGAAGTTACAAGGGCCAAATTTTTTGTGAGACCAATCAAGCAAAATTTGGGGTCTTCGCTACAGTCATTCTAAAATATTTTCACTGAATTATTGTATTTTTAGTACTTTTCCTAAATTGAAGGTATTCCTTGAACAGTTCCTTTGCACCTTCTTTGCAAGAGGCTAATTCAGAATAACTCTTCTGAGTTTCTATAATGTGAATACAAATAACTGAAATGAAAAACCAGGTTTTTCAGGTGTTTAGTAATGTTATTAATTACCTTTTCATTCTAAATTAATTAGTTCATAAATAGAAGGCGGTATCTAAGCTATTTGAAGATGCAGGTGAACATCACTAAATCAAGTGCACATCTTTTCTTTATGAAAATTTAGTTTTACTTGTCTGCTCATGTCACATTTTAACTCATGACTTTTTTTTTACTAACATGCATTAGAGTTAGTAATTTCATCTGTTGATCAGTGAAATGCTTTTTTGATTTTTATTGTCTCAGAAGGACCCTTCCTCTGCTGATGCAAATGTTTCCTTTACATTTACAATGAAATGTTTTGTTTTATCAGTAGCATCACAGGAAATGGTAAACAATGGAGCAAATAGTGTTTATTTTTTTATCTGGGTTTTTTTTTCTCCTTCCCCTAGATCCCCATAAAAAAAAAAAAAAAAAACACTTCAAACAGCATTTTTATCACTTTATAACGAAGTATTATGCCACCAAGAGAATAATTACAGGTGTTGTGAAAAAAGAATGTATTGAAGAAAGTCAAGAAAGATAACTTATTTATTTGAAGATATTTGCGGTGAAAAATTCCTCAGTTTTTTTGTTCATAAATAGAATGGAAGTTGAGGATTGCATTGTAGAAAAAGAGAGATAGAAACAGGAGATTTTGTAGGGAGATAAGGATGTTAGGATGATTTTAGGACTGTTAGGAAGACCAAGTACCAATATTATTTGGACTGGTTGTTGAACAAAAAATCTGCTACTAGCTGACTTCCTATGAGGCAATCAATTGGAAAGGCTTTCCCACCTTTTCTTTTACTGTGTTTATAAGCCCATTTCCCTTTCAATAGTCAAGTGATCTTTTTTGGTTTTGCTGCCCATTTTGCATGTATCCCATCTGTACATGTTTGATTTCCAGAGTCTGGCATCTGCAGCATTTGATTTAGGTAAATGTGAAGTATTGGTACCTGCATTATGAAATGTTTTTAACTTGGAAATGAGTATATCTTTCAATTTTGGAGATAAGAGCTAAACCCAGATCTCTATAAAGCACTTTGTGTTGGAGATAAAATAAAATTATGGCACTACTATGTTGTTAGTGATTGAACATAGTTTCATTTAATTGTATCTACATCTGTTTCTGCTCCTTTTTGGTTCTACGGCTGTGTGGCAGTGTTGGTTTTTATGTGTTTGTTTAAGTGTAAAAGCGTATAACAGCACTGTTGGTGACTTGGAAAGGTTGCTTAATAGAAAAATAACTTCTGGAAAATTTGGTATTTTCTGGTGCATCAGTCTGTATAGTGACTTTCTAGAGCAAGTTTGCTGCTTTCTTATGCTATACCCAAAAGACCTTTTATCCATTCAGCATCTTCCTTTCTGCTTTTTAAATTTTTCTTAACTATCTCTGTGATACTTAATGAGCTTCCAATGTTAACAAGCCTTTTTAAGGCAAAGATTTGAGAGTTTGTTTAAATTTTATAGCAGCATTCCTGGCACTTTTGGAATGGCACCACTTATGTTGTTTATAAGCATRCCACTATTTTGGGGACAAAATGGGCAAAAGTATCCATAAACATGGAATTTTGCTTCAACTCAAGAAAGGTTGGCTTCTTTCCTAAGATATTTCTTTGTTCATACCAATAGAGCAAATAACAATGGAACAAATATTTAACAGATGCAAAGTGCAAAAACAACTAGTGCCAATATCAGCTTGGATAGTAATAACTGGTTTGGTCTCATGGTCACAGGGTTTCTTGTACTCTTTTTAAGAGCAATTCTCTTCCACCTTCTGCTTTTCAGAAAAAGGTGTAGCAGTTCTCTGTATTTATTCCTGCCCTTTGTTTATATCCAACTGCCTAAAGAAGGTCTAGGATTGTATCTGTCGTTCTCTTTAAAGAAGATAAGCATTCCTTTAGACAGTTTGCCCCAATACTTAATCARCCACATCATTTTCCCAACTGTGAACTGAAGTCCCAGTTTTTCTAGTACCTGTTAGACTATAAATGAAGATGGTACTGGGTTGCCGGACATGACCATAAAGTTCCCAGACTGATCTGGCCTTCTTTGGTAGCAATTTCATGTTGTATTCAGAACTGCCTTTATTTGTATTAGTAGCAGTATGGCAGGTTTATAGTACAATAGACTTTGTGTAATAATAATGTACAGAATAGTGTGATTAAATCATAGTAGCAAGGCTGATAAAAAATTTGAAAAGGAAATAATCTAAAAATTCCAAATCAAACTTTAAGGCAGATCCTCCTTGCAGACTGGAGAAAAAACGCTACTCAAACTGAATTTATACTGTTCTATATACAAAGAAATTAAATTCTAAGTTATGTCTCTCCCATTGTTTTAATAAATACATAGAGTGACAAGGTTTCAAAATAATTTGAAGATACTGACTTCTGTAAATGAAACAACGTAAAGCTGTTGACATTATTCTTTKTTATACTGTCTGTATTTCATATGTYCTCTTTTGTCTCTCCTGTGTTTTAGATCAGATGATAAGAAGAGCACCAACTGGAAGCAGTTTCCTAAAAAGCCATGTAAAAATCTGCTCAGCACCTTAAAGAAACTGCACCCACAGCTGGCAGCAGGTGAAATAGATAAAATGAAAATAATTCCAATTAGTATATAAATGTAATTACTTTCTTCTAGCACATGGAGTGTAAATATTTTTTTAGACTTTTTTTAATGTAACTTCCTAGAATTTAGTATCTTTTTTYAGCCTTTACTCATGGTCATGTCYAGCCTCTCATCCACCTGTGTCTCAAATTATTGTCAGAGATCTGTTCRTCCCCCAGCCTGTGTTGTTACTGGAGGTTTCCCCATCTCAGGGTGCAGTACCTTGCACTTGGATTTGTTAAATCTCATGAGAGTCCCATGGGCCCACTTCGTGAGTTTGTCCAAGTTTCTCTGTATGGCGTCCCATTCCTCAGGCGTGCCAACAGCATCACTCAGCTTGGTACCATCTGCAGACTTGCTGAGGTTACACTTGATYTCTTTGTGTTATTGATGATGATATTAAGTAACGTGGCCCCAGTATGGACACCTGACTGGTGTCCATTGTGACTCTAAACTATTTCCCACTACCCTCTGGATGAGACTGTCCAACCACTTTTGTATCCATTTGATAGCCCACCCATCAAATCCTTCTCTTTCCAATTTAGAGATAAGGGTGTTTGTGGGGATCTGTGTCAAAGGCTTTACACAATTGTGGATAGATGACATCTGTAGCCCTTCCCTTGTCCACTGATGCCATCACTCCATCACAGAAAGCCACTGGGCTGGGTCAGGCAGGATTTGCCCTTGGTGAAGCTGTGCTGGTGTCTCGAGTCACCTCCCTGTCCTCCCTGTGCTCAGCACAGCTTCTGGGAGGATCTGTTCCACATCTTGCCAGGCACAGAGGGGAGGCTGACAGGGTGGTAGTTTGCAGCACCCAATATTGGTGAATATCACAGATAATGGCTTTTCTACCACAATAATGGAGTAGCTAAATTTTGACAAAGGATTTTGTAAAAAAAAAAAAAAACAAAAAACCGACCAACTTCAGCCTAATAATTTTGACAGATAAGAGCAAAGTTCTACTGACCTAACGATTTTCAGGTATTGTTTCATTCTAACTATAGATAGATGTTTTCAGGTAAGATGGTTTCTGTATATAAGGTTACAATRTTATGGGGAAGGAGAAAATAATCACCTCACACGTATACAAGATACACAAAATTCATAAATTACAAAAGCAAAAAATGATATTAATAAAGAGGTGGGTGTTCTTGTCTTAGTTTTCAAGATTTTTTATTTGCAAACAGCCTTTCATTCATCTTTTAGAAAATCTCAACTTTTATCAGCAGGTTATATCATTTAGCTTGAGCACAGTCAGTGGTCTCTCTTAATYTTTCTATTTTGGCAGTACTATAGTAGCTATGTTGTAATATAAAGTTATATTTATGTAGAAATATTTTTGTTATTCTAACTGATACTTGTTATAATAAAAAGTGTGGAACTGTCATTTTCAGCAGTAGCTGCTGCTGTTTTTTTAAGAATGCAAGAGTGAACTGTGAAAGTTTCTTACTTGTTTCCACCAGTTGGTAAACTAAAATATTAGGATCTTTGTTGGAAAAATGGTTTTAAATGTGTATTCTTCAGAGCAGGGAAAGCACGATGCAACTAATGAGGGGTTTAAGTCACTTAAAGAATCACTGGCAAAGAAAGGTATCAGCAAAAGTAGATTTCATAAAAATTTGCAAAAGTACAGCAGAGTTCAGTAGCAAGGTTCACTCTATCACTGGCTTCATCGGTGAAGCACAAAAAGAAAAATCATATTATAATCAAGGTAGAATGATTGTGCCAAAACTGGGAATTCAAAGGGACAAGGGTGTGAAGAACTAGGGGAGACCCTCCAGTAGTGTCAGGAGTTTCAGAGAGGGCCCATTTGCTTTCCTCTTGGAGCCTATGTGCGACTGAATCCAAACTTAGCCCTAGATTGAGGGGCCAAGTCCAACTAGGCCCCAAGTTTGTCTAAAGGATTTAGCAGCACTTAGTTGTTGACTGATTTAACATTTACAAAGTGATTTAATAGGATTTACTGTAAGTACCACAGTAACTTAATTACAGATCTGTGATGGAAATATTCATACTATACTTGYCATTGGGTGTTTAAATCCATTCACACATGCATGCACACAGACCCAAAGAATTGTGTACAAAGGACTAAATACCTGTTAAAAATTCACCTTGAATTKAGTGAGATACTCACATGAGTGAGTGACTGGCAACACTCAGTGGGTGACGGGTTGAGCTTTGAGGTTTGGGTGGTACTGGGGAATAGCCCTGACTCTGTCAGCAGGTTTCAGCAATGGTCCTCTGAACATTGCAAACTGSAGAGCTGGTGGGCTCCAAGAGGTCCCACTGAGGAGATGCTGGTGCAGTCACAGCTGCCCAGGAGAGGTCAGAKGGCCTGGCTTACGATTAATCTTCATGGTGTCATAAGATGTTTGTCATAAGTTTGTCTGTCTGTCTTCATCCTGTAGATAGGAAACCACTGGAATTTTTCTCAAAAGTCTAGTTATAATAATATTGTTCTATTCAGGCTGTGATTCAGGCAAATAGTGTTCCAAAGCTATTCATTAGCAGCAGCTGTTCTTTAGGCAGCAGCAGTTCTTGAGAGCAGCCAATGTTTCCCATAAGCTCAAGGGGCTCTTAACTCCTCGGGAGCCATCACTCAAGGCCAAAGCCTAATGAGAATGTCTGAGGAGAATGGAGATTGTAGAGCAGCCCATAAGGAGCTGGGTTGGGGCAGGGGTGGAAAAATACCACACAAGGTGCCCTGTGTTTGCATTGATTTATTATTCAAAGACTATATCCAGTTGAGTATGAAGTAACATTAACTGAGCTGACATCCTTGTTTTATGTCACAGATTGCTGCATGAATTAGAAAAATACACTTTTRAGGTAACCTGCCTTTTATATGGGTCAATTCAATTGGAAAATAATGACAGGATTTCTAATGCGTATCATTTCTGAATATGGACAAGTAGAAAAAATTTCTTGAATACTTTGAATTTTAATTAAAGGATTGTGTTGCTCATTGCTAGTTCACAGGAAAACTCAAGAAGGCTCTGCAGTGGAAATGACACCTATAGAGGCAGATTTCTCCTGGCAGAAGAAGATGATAGAACTTGAGATGGAGATCCAGGAAGCTTTTCTCCGTTTCATGGCATCTATTTTGAAGGGCTACAGAACATTCCTCAAGCCAATTACACAGGCACCTTCAAATAAAGCAACTGCTGCCGATTCCTTGTTTGATCATCAAGGTGAGGGTGGGGCAAACCTGCTGCTGATAGCGTGGCAGTGCTCCAGCTTTTAAGAGCTGCATAATTTTAAAAGGTCAAAGTTCCCTCTGGTTGTACAGTTCTTGGCAGTATTTAAAGTTGCAATTATCTAAAGTTCAGCCATTCAAAGTTGATTAGAACACAGATACACGTAGAACTGCAGGTTTGCTAGCTCTGGGATTAAAAAAGCTTTCTTTTAGTAGCATGATGCCCTCTCATCATGGCAAGAGCATCTCTTGGGAATGAAAAAGTATTTCTCAATTCTTATGAAGCAAAAATGCTAAAATCCCACTAATGAGGAATGAAGAAGTGGTCTTGATATAAGTGGAAAAATAGTAGAGAATGGGACAGAGATCAAAAACATAGCAAAGCAATAAACAATAGTCAGCAGATGTTACTTTGCTCATCACTATCAATTATTCTGATCTGTTCATAAGTTGAATGYTGCAARAAGCTTTGTATGYAGTGTTGTTTTYGGTTTTGTTTATTTTTTTGRGGTTGGTGATTGTTTACTGGAGGAGAAGAGATTTGAGAAGAGATTTTTAGGTGATTGTTTGGAGAGTTTTCAATATTATCAGGTCCATCACCTTTTAGGATARGATCATTTTAATTTAAGTATTGTTTTAGCTGTTGGATGCTTTTGTACAAGGTCATCTTCTTTTTCTTGCACAATGAATCAACAAACAATGAGAAGGGATTACATGGGTGTGATTCATRACCAAGGATCGTTAGCTATGTTAAAAAAATACCTATTAAAAGATGCTGTTATTTTAATCTTCCAAATGCAAGTAGGTATAAGTAGTTGATTTTAATTATAAAGCAAATACTTTATGTATTATAACCTTAAATAATTTATGTTGATACTTCATGTGTTAATTTCTTATTAAATTTGTAACTGGCATTTAGGTGAGTGTTCCCTTTTCTAAACAGGATTTTTAAAAAGCAGAGATCGTGCCTATACAAAGTTCTACACTCATCTTACCAAAACACAGATATTCAGCCGCTTCATTGAAGAGTGCAGTTTTGTGAGTGACAAGGATACTGGCTTGGCATTTTTTGATGACTGCATAGAAAAGGTGAAAAACATAGTAATACTACTAAATATTCATCTTTCACTTTGTTCTGTCTTTTAGTTGAGAAGGCATGTCACTTCTGCAGGAAGTGTTCGAAGGGATTGAAATTCTTAGTGGTTATTACTGAGTCATTTTCTTTTCTTCATCATCTTGCATGGTCATAATTTCTGTGTTATTGGAGGAAATTTTAATCAAAAGCCTGTAGGATTTCAGTCTATAAGATTATGAGAGAAATACAAGTAACTGACACTTAAGGAAAATGCAATCCCTTTAAGTGCTAATTGTCCTCCCTCTTATGTGGAGTTGCYACCAGTGGTCATCTGCTACCAGTTGTTATTTGCACAATTTCAACTTAAAACGTGCCTAGTACTTCAGATGTGGTCAGAACTGGTTTATGTGGATAAGTTCCCCTTTCATTACAAGCATGTTATAGGTGAAAGATTGCTGTATCCTATTTTTTGTTTTTAATGAGGTCACATCAGTATGATTCTGGTCTACATATATTATGGTGTTTGTAGCTTCATCTTTAAAATTCCAAAATCACAATATAAAAGAAACTAGAGATTTGGTTGTTTTTTTTTTTTTTTAAGGCATATATATATATATATATATATATATATATGATTCTTTCTGGCCAAACCTTCATTTTAATGACAAGTTCTTACAGACTCTTTGATTCAGTATTGTTTCTAATCAAATTAACATTTGTAAGTGGTCAAAAGTTTATTTGCTTTTTTTTTCTGCTAAATATGGGGTATRCATCTAGAGAATACTTTGTTAATAATCTGTTATTAGTGCAAGTTGTGATATTTCAACTAAACTAAATGAAGGCACTTTTCCTTTGATTGATTTAGAATTTTGTATTTAGTAGATAGTGTTGGTAGATTGAAAGCATGCTGATTATTCTAGTCAAGTATTTGAAAAAGATTATTCAGTAATACAGAAAATTGCTGTTTCTTCTTTACTATTTCAGCAAGTGACACAGCTTTAAYAGAATTACATAGGATTTTGGTTTTCAGTTGAGAAGAAGCTCTTAATTTTTTTTTCTTTTCCCAGCTCTTTCCAGATAAAGGAACGGAAAAAGGCGAGAAGGTACTTTGCCCTTAAAAATGTTTAGGAATATCTAATAATGAAATAAAAATGGAAAGACAAGGCTTGATATTTAGAGTAATTAGAACAAGCATATCCAATCAAATACAGCATATATAAACTATATTTTCACATATTCTAATACAATTGAAATAAAAAGGACACTTGTTACGAAGCCAAACTCTGTACTTAATGTACAAACTCTGTTTTCAGGTTGATGTAGACTCTGTTGAAGAYGCACGCTTGATTGAGCTTGATGAGTCACAAAAAAGTGAACACACAGTGTTCATAATGCCACCAGAACCGCCTGCTGATGATGGGCAGGACCGAGTGCCAAAATACAGGTACAAGTTAAACAGTCACTAGAATGTTTACAATGTTTAGCCATGCAGATGTTCCATGTTGGTGCAAGGCTTGCATTAATACAGTGTTCAGAAGAACGCTTAGAAAGATACGAACTGCCCAGATTCTGGTACATTTGTGAAGTTCTAGAAGTCAGGTTTTTGTGTATTAGTATATATGAGGGCATGTGGATTATGGTAATAAATTTTTGATAACTTCTTGCAACTTGATAGTAATACTTTTCTGCCTGTAATTCAGTGTCCTTCTTCATTTTTGAGCCATTTGTATTTTGTAGCAAGTTCTGTGCATTTTTTTCCATGCTGGGAATGATGATGGGTGGGTTATGAATTTACCCATTACTACTGATCTGCAGATGATGAACCAAAAGGAAAAAAAATATGCACTCCACTTTTCAGATTTCTTGCATTCAGTTTTTTTCAGCACTGTGCAGGAAGTCTGGAGTTTCAGACACTCTGGGTATGACTTTTTTCTTCCTGTTTCCCTTGAAGATCATGAGGGTCCTATTTTTTGCTGTTGTCCTTGTTAATCATTGTCTGTTCTCCCTTGACCTTCATGACATTGTTAGCAGTCTGGTTCTTATTTCCATTGTCTTTGGAGGTTTAATGTCTGAGACACCTTCTTATGGTATCTTTGTGAATAAGGCTAAAAGGATCTTGCTGTCTTCTCTTTTTTTTCTCCTGGTTCTTTATTCTCCTGTTTGTCATTTTTGTCTGTACAACTTGCCTTTGTATGCCTTTCCTGCTATGAGCAGGTATGTGAAAAGCTTTTATTTTCTTTTTTTTTTAATAATCTATATAGCTATAAGAACTTCCCACGACTAGATTTCAAGCTCTTTGACAGGCCACAGGAGCTCAAGCTCTCCTTCAGCAGACACCCRGCTGGGAGCAGTATTTCAAATAGTCCAGCACTCATGGCCAAGAGGACAAAACAGGTCAGATGAGTCTCACTGTAAGCACTGTGTGATCACTGAAAGACACAAACTTTCTTGGGTTAAACTGCCACTGTCTGTTTATGCTGTAAGTTAATGTTATACGTTTAATTTCTGTAACTATTGAGAATGAACATTTGCAAATAAAATAAACAGAAGACATAAAAAATAGCATCTGAGATTATAGTTTATTGTCAAATTGATTTTTAAGCTTTAGACTGTAATATAAAATTAAAATGAATGCTTCAGTGCAGGAAAAAAAATACTAATCTCGATGCTAGTTTTTGCTTGCAGAGAATCTTAACAAGAGAGCGGTAAAAAGGGATCTTCAGTTCAAAGTCTGTCTATCATTATTAAACGTACACTCTTAAGAAGGCAGTATCTGAGTTGGATTCCTAGATTGAAGATGTTATATCTTTTGTCTCCTTTGTTTCACCCTTACAGGAGATAAAAACAGCCCATAAATTAGCCAAGAAGTATTACGTCAGCCCCTCACAGTGGGCTAAATGTCTCTTCAGTCATAGTTACAGCCTGTGGTTTATTTGTCTGCCAGCGTATGTCAGAGTTGCACATCCCAAGGTCAAAGCACTGCAACAGGCATATGATGTTCTGATTAAAATGAGGAAAACCGATGTGGAACCACTAGATGAGGCAAGTGCAAACCAAGAAAAGTTGCCGTGAATGTGAAATAGAAGACAAGGTGCAAATACAGTGTGTTTTGCTGGCACCACYGGGTTAAGCATCCTTATGGTTTTAACTGTGTTAAAGGCACCTTAAAATCATCTCAAGTCTGCTTTATGATGGCAACTGGAAATTAATTTCCTTTTCTGTCCCCAGCATGGTGTCTGCTGGGTTAAGGACTCCTACTTAGTGTTGCTAGTCTTCTCCCAGACAACTTCCCCAAGGAAGTTCCTGAATATCCCTGTTTTTTAAATTCACTTTTAATTAATACTTTGCAGCCTTACTGCATTGAAGGGATCATGGGTTTGTGTGCASCATGCTGTTCTTTCAGTAGTATCCACAGGCACACAGCAGCAAGTTACCCTGCTTTTCACATGGGCACCTTACCTCCTTCRTTTCTCAAATAGAAGAGCTGAGTGGAAAAAAAACCTCAGTATGCTCAACAATGTGACTTCTGATGTTTTTTCAGGTCCTYTGATTTCCTGTTTAATTTTTGCTCTTTCTCCTGGCTGTAGCATGTTACGGACTAAGTAGTTGCTCTCACACAGCTTTCCCTTTTACATGTGTAAAAGCTGGAAATCAGAAAGGAGCTTAAGATATTTCAAAAKTCTTGTCCTTAGTCTTTAGAAACATTTACATGTTTCTGTGTCTTGTCAGGTCTGTTACAGGGTAGTAATGCAGCTCTGTGGATTGTGGGGTCAGCCTGTTCAGGCTGTGAGGGTCCTTTTTGAAATGAAAAATGCTGGAATACAGCCAAATGCCATCACCTATGGTTATTACAATAAGGTAAGGGACCAATGTATTTTGCAGTTGTCACTCCCAATGTCCTGTAGCATGTTTTTAAGATTGTTTCTTGTAGGTGTTCATTTGGATTTGCTGATTCTGTTGGTCAAGCAATCCTTTTGGGCATACTTACAGAATGACCGAATCTATTCTACATGGTTTCACACTGTTAAATTTACATTCTTATGCAACTAACTAAAAATTCCATTGAAGCCAGATTTATACTGCGTCCATTCACAAGTTTTGGAATCATCTAGTCCTTCCTTGTCAGACAAACCTGTTCTAAGGTGTATTCTTTAAGATAGCAGGATCCAATATGGGTGAAGCCTGGAAYTGGGCTAGTTGAAGTAGCCTCCCCCTCTTTTCTTTGCTTCCAACTTGTTGTAAGATGCTGATAAAAACTATAAACTGTAGTAAGATAACTATAGTTTGTAAAGGAAACTATGTAAAGGAAAAAGAAAAGAGGTGTCATTACGGTCTTCTGTTGCTATTCAAAATGTCTAAATAAGAACAAAACCCACCTTGTTTACTTAAAGAAATCTTGATCCACTATTTGGTTTACTCAGCTGTTGTATACTGAGGTGTGGAATAAAGAGCTAGCTCATAAAATTCACATATTTGTCCTACTTCACATGGTTGGCAGTAAATGCTTTTTTTTTTATCAGGGCATGAAAATAATGCTCTTAACCATACTGTGTTTTTTAGTGTAACTTCTTTATTTTTGTTGTTGCGAAAATGTCTTTATGCAGGCGGTTTTAGAGTCATCTTGGCCTAGCAGTAACCGCAGTGGCATATTCCTGTGGACAAAGGTACGAAATGTAGTTCATGGCACAGCGCAGTTTAGGCAGTGCTTAAAGAAATCAACGCAGAACCTGCGAGTGCCTGTGATATCAGGTAATAAGTTAGTTGAAATAGATCTATTTCTGGTGAACAAGAGCATGACATCCTTTCTKATGGATAGCAGCTAACATTGTGGCTTTTGAAAGTGGGAAATCTCTCCTTTAATATATAAAAAAAKATATTTGCCAGCTTGATGCTTGAAACAGGATTAGAATGTCTTTTGCGTCCTGTAGAATTGTCTAATTTCTGTTACCAGAAATCTCATACTCTTATTTTATATGTGCAAGCAGAAGTATTTATTGTTGTCTGAAGAGGTTAGATTTGTTTGAAARCCTGTTTAATTAAGTCCTCTCCTACTAACCAGCTCTCGTTCATGTCTTTAGCTCTGCGGAGTCCCACGGGTGGAAGTGATGGGGACATGGTGAGCCATGGTAGCGTGGATAGTTCTAATGATGCTAACAGTGGGGATCACACCCTCTTCGTCAGTGACTTAGTCAGGCTTGATTCCGTTGATAATCACTCTAGCACAGGTACTAGATTCTATTGGGTTTACTACTAATAGTTCCCTAAAAGGCTAAATTTTCTAGTCCTCTGTTGGTTTACCCTCCACAACTGCTACTTTCCCTTCTTGAGGCTGTAGAGAAGTGTGGAGTTGACTGGTTTAGAAAAATAAGTACRTTGTGGTTGAGCATTCCTTCTTTACTGCACATCACACTTCAGTTTAAAATGGATCATAGCTGAAGTACTGTGACCTTAAAATAAATGTTTTGCTGTGGTCTCATATACCCTGCTTTTTGTGTTAGCCTTCAGAAAAGGTATGAAGCTTCTGATATATGAGGCTGTTTAATGTTTGCATGTTGCCATATATTCACAGAGGTGACAGTCTGTGTCAGTAAAATCTTCCCATGAAAGGCAAGAAATGGTAGTTCGTGAGGTGATTAGAAGGTAATGCTTGAAAATGGTTGTCCTTGATGATATCCCAGGAAGGTCTAATTATACTTTTAAAGGCCCTWTTCAAGTGTCTTAATAGTAGTTGCTAAACTTTGAAATACAGAAATTATCAGAACTTTTTCATACAGTTTTTAGGAGACACTATGGGAGTGGAAAGGCAGGTGTTAAGCTGGAGAAAAGCTCCACCATTCAACAGACAGACTGAAGTAAAAAGAGTGTGCAGGAAGTTAATAATTTGAGATGACAAGACAAAATGCATAGTGGTCCTTACCTGCTTAGTGCTGATCACATCCAACCTGTGCACAGTCTCAACTAAACTTCCTTTCTGTGTGTACTTCAAAACTTAATGTACAAAATTGTTCTTGCACACTCTTCATGTTTTAATATCTTGAGCCCTTCTGTAAAGAGAACTTTGAGTCTGATTCCTGTGCTTCATCTGATATGTCTGCCTAGATTACTGAACTTCCCTTCTCTCTGCTCTTTGTTGCTCTGCTTTTTGCTCTTTGCTGTCTCTTGGGTGCCGCATTTGTCCTTGGCTATCACGGTGTGGGGTGCAGACATGTGGTGTGAAGCCTTGGATGCACGTGTGCATTATTTCTACCCTTGAATGTTACTCCTGCAGGTAATTCACCCATTTATTGATAGGGTGTTTTCACCTCCTCACAAGGCAGGGATACTAACATTATTGAAAATGTGATAGAGGGAAAATAAGGACCGGAGAATTTCAGAACTTATTTTTCTATATAAAAAGTTTTTAATGTAGTAGCCAAATGTATTAATTGATGACTGCTCGAATTTTTAATTCTTTTTTACATATTTGTTATTTGTTGGCAAAATAAGTAGCAGTAATRTGTGTGGTAGATAAAGTATTTCTGTCACTCAGGTTTTATGGAGCTTCCTATCACCTTTCACACTCAGTAACTTACACTTTGATCTTTTTTGGTTCAACAATGTGTGCTAATAGGTACTCTGAAGTATATGAACAATCCTGTTCATCCTAACATCCTAAAGTTGCTGAGAAATATGTCCATATAGTATTTTGGTCTTTTTGCACATGCAGCAGTACTTCAGATAAAAATAATAGAGAAAAAGACTTTCTGGTTTGTTTCATATGACAAAACTTTTGGATTACTATAAATTTTCTTGTTAGTGAGTTACAGCTGTCAAGTTTAACTGGCATAGCAGAGAAACAGACTTAAAAAATTGTTTATAGTTTTACGTTTTTTTTTTGTTTTGATTTATACTTTGCCATGTAGCACAAAGATATAGCACAGTTTATGTACAAGGTTTTTTCAGGGCTGTATTCATTGTTAAAAGCTTGCTCAATTACAGTTGTCTAAATGTCTTTTGTTAATGCATTTGAGAATTTAGCTTATCCAGCAGTTAAATATTTCATGTTAATGCAGTAGGAAAGGAGTGAAAGCAAGTACAGTGCATTAAAAATAGTCACCAAAGTGTTTCTAGGGGAATAACTGGTATTTAATATGTTTAGAAAAGTAAATTTGGATTGGTAGAGCCTGATTATCTCTGGTGTCATAATCACTGAGTAGATCTTTCCATAAATTACACATTTTGGAGATCTTACTATGAAAAACTTTTCTGGAGAAACAACATATGAAACAAATAAATTTGAATTCCTGTATTTTCTTACTGAAAAACAATTTTAGGAAGCAGAAACGAACTTGAAGCATGTGTTTATATTTCTTCAAACAGGTGGTCAGTCAGACCAGGGTTACAGGTCCAAGGATGAACTTTTGAGAGATGGTGAGAATAGTCTTTCTGCAACTGAAACACGAGTAGAGAAAGATATTTCTTCTAATGCTGAAGACTTAATAAGAGGTTAAGTATGCATGTTCATGTTGGTGAAGGCTTTTGGTAATAAATGCTTCGTGTATTGGACTACCACAGATACTTAATGTATTGCAGTAATAATCTTAATGCTCAGAATATAACAGATTTCATGTAGTTGTATTACTCCTGTGCCCTAAATAATAGCATGCGTATAGGTAGAAATASCCTTTTATTAGACTAACTTAATATRCATGGAAAAATTGGACAAATGCTGGGGTACACAGTAATTTACATTTGAAATCTTGACAATTTTTTTATCTATACCTGTACCTATTGACCTAATAAAAGGCACTACTTTTTCTTGCAAACTCTTCCCAGCCACTGACAGCCTTATGGTAATCTGTCTTTTGTTCAAGTTTTTCCCTCAGTTTTTCTGTATTTTGTTGTATTTCATTACTGTATTTTTCATATCTGGGTTATGAGATCCTTTATGTGAGTTAGGGCTTCTAAAGCTCTCATTAAACAAATGGTCCTAAATGAAAATCTGTGAACTACTGTTCCTACTCTACTTTGCTGAAAAAACATCATGGAGAGGAACTGGCAAATGCTCTAACCCTGTGAACAGTTGAGCACTCTCTGCATGATGCTGGCAAGTGTCCCTTCTCTGGCTATTACTTCCAAGAAATTCTCAGTAGCTTGTAGGACCGATCCATTGGTTTATTACTGTGTGGACAGTGGGAGTTTATATTTTACATAACAGTGAAAATGTAATTATTAAGTTGAATCTACTCATGTTCACATTCTCTTTCTTGCAGAGGTTTCCACAGAAAAATCTTACGAAAAGCAACAGCCAAATACAGAAATTCTGAGTTCAAGTGATCCACCTGCTTCGGGTAACAGTATTGTGAAAGTTCCATCTGGCATTTTTGATAGCACTGGAAGGAAGAGCAGTGGTGGTGAGTCACTGAGTGAAACAGAGCTTACTGAAGTCCTGATCTTGTTGTGCTGTAGTGTTTTTGCAATCTGTTTTGTCTTATGGAAAGAAACAGAATTTCTGTTCAAGATGCAGTGGTCTCACGTAGTGCTTGATTTCCACCATTATCCTGTACAGGTGACTTAAAAGGAAACTCTGGATTCTGATGTTGAAAATCACTGTTCAATAGATTGAAATCAAGATTTTTCCCTGCCTCGCACTAAGAGAGTTTCAGGAATATAGTAGAAAACAAAGAACTAGTGTCTCTGCTCTTGATTTTGTCAYCTGAACCTTGCTGATCTTGGACAAGTCTCTATTCCTACAGTTTACATTGCCAATCTATAATGCGGGAACAATGTGTGTTATCTTTGTGCTGTATGAAATTTATTTCCTTATCTCTAAATTTGTGATGAGGAAGATTTATGGATATATATAAACCAAATCTTGGGGCTCAATTTTTTTTCTGCCTTTGTATCTGCCCTTTACTAAGGCAAGGTAATCCAGCTTCAATGCAGCTTGATAGCAAAGAATTGAGTCTCAGGTAAGAAGTCACTTGGGACATTTTTGGCAATTGTGAGAACTGATCTCTTGAAGTCCTAAAGTAGTAAAATTTTCATACTKCCAGAGGTTTTTAACTAGCTAATACAGCTATCTAGGCAATAAATAGTCCCAATTACCACGAGAAACAGGAATATTTGTAAGATCAGTTTCTRTCTTCCACATGCTGAATTTAATTAGCATTTTCTGAGTATACAGCTGTGTCATAATAATGCATCTATATTGGGTGGACACACACAGGTAGTTTTTTTCAGAGAATGAGTCAGCTATGGAGTTTGATGTTTAGACCTTTCAGTCTAGTTCTTGGGGGAAAAAATCCAAAACCAAGCAKAGCAGTTTTTACTTAGAGTTGTGGTTTCCTTTAGTTCACGGGTAGTACCTGCTCTCTGGGTGTTGGCACAGGAAAAGGACGTAGAAGTCTTATACAGCTTTGACTCCAAAGCATAGATGGCTTTTGATCTGCAGGCTGCCTTTGCAGCCAGTGAAATAACTTGTTAATGCTAATGTAACTTCTTAATGGAGATCTTGAGACTGTGGTACTCCCAGTCTTCTTTATGTAAGGAGATTAAGGAGATTTCACATGATTTCAGGAAACAAATACTTTTGTTGGCTATTGATATTATTAGTAATATGGATACTACTAATATAGTTTGGATATTAGTGGATACTATTAATAATATGGATATTATTAATGCATTTTCTCTTTTAGAAACTGTTTCTAGCCCACTGTTCCTAACTCAGGATTCARTCGAAGATGCAGTCTTTGGTAATGTTTCTCCTAAGAAAACAAGTGAAAAAAGACAGAGGAGGCAAAAACTGTTTTCAGAGAGAAGCTGCAGTTTCAGCAGTGAAAGCAGAGCTGGAATGCTGCTGAAAAAAGACAGCTTGGACTTGAATTCTAAAGAAATAGCAATAATGATGGGTGCAGATGCCAAGATCCTGACAGCAGCTTTGTCTGTGGCCAAAACTTCACCCTGTCATATGAATAAATCTCACAGCTTTGAAAATATCACTGACCAGCAGGTTTCTGACATAAGTGGCACATGGAGTTGTGTGACTGGGAGTGACTGGGAGCTAGAGCATAGGTCTTCACCAGTGCTGGAAGAACCTGGGGAAGGGCAAGAGCATCTTGAGAATGAAAGAGATGGAAACATGAACACAGTGGAAGACACAAACCTTGAACCATCAGCTGAGTATGAAAARCAGAAACCGGATTCCAAAGATGCACCTCCTAAAAGAAATAGCTTTTATGGGGTGGCTAAACCTATCGAAAGGGAAGATGTTGAAGTAGGCTTGGACCCTTTGTCTTTGCTAGCCACTGACAGCATGCAACCAAGCTRTCCAGAACCTGGGGAAAAATTGGTGTCACCTGTTGCAGCACGTAATTTGGCAGATGAAATAGAGAGCTACATGAATTTGAAGAACCCACTGGGTAGTAAGTTTCCCAGCATGGAACTKCACAAGGCAGATACAGAAGCAGAAGCTTCTGGTACACTTGGTCACTCCCAAGAAAGAAGGTCAAGCCTGCCTTTGGATCCCATCCTGCCATCCCCCAAGGGCTACCAAAGTCGAAGAAGTCCTTCTGTCTCCAGATCCAAAACCTTCACTGGACGATCGAAGCAACAAACCCATGCMCAAGTTCAAAAGGAACGGTCTTCATCTTTGACAGGACTGGGTCGTTCTTCTCCACATGGCTCACTGGGAACTGTTGTAACAACTTTATCCAATCTGAAGTTAGACCATATATTGTCTGGACCAAAAATGGATGTTTTGAAATCAGGCATGAAGCAGGCTGCCAATGTGGCCAGTAAGATGTGGGGGGTTGTAACTTCAGCATATAGTTACTCAGATGATGAGGTAAGTGTTTTTCAATATGAAAAATTTGGGGACAAAGTTTGAGGGGTAGCTTCTGTGTCCAGAAAAATTGTTTCTCAAGGTGCTGTTTTTTAGTAACTATTGACCCTTTATTAGCTAATAAAAACTACGCTTTATCTGTGGTGTTTTTCCTTGCCGTTAAAAAAATACACTTTTTAGGAAAAAGCAGATTAGGTGGTCTTGATGCAGCAAGTTTTAGCTTTTTGTTCTCAACATTCCCACCATTTATTTATTTATGTATCTTTTTATTTATATGTAAAGAACCTGAACCAAGAAACTCTAGTAAGAACAAATTTGTGTCATCTAAAATGATGCCATACTGCCTGTCTTACTTTAGAAAACTAGATTGTGAAAATAAATCACAAAACCAGGAAGTCAGTTTGGTGGGGATTAAAGTCAAAAGTAATAAGGTACAGCCTGAGATCTAGTAAACTTACTTGTCAGGATTTTGGAAACTAAATGCTATGGTTTTTCTGTGCCTAACAGAGTCTTTTTACAGTAATGAAAGAGGATATATAGGGATGAATACTGTAACTTCCTCTTTTCTATATATCTTGTCATTGTGCCTTCAAACACAGTTTTCTCAGTTAGAAAGGCCTCTGCTTGATGCAGGTAACCCTTCAATCTGGTGTTTAATTTTAAGGGTCTTTTGTTTCTTTAGGCTGTTAAGATAGCTTTTGGTTGCCTTTTTCAAATTCTCCTTTCTTTGCCTAGCTTTCATAAAAGGTGAAGAAGGGGAAGATAGGTTTGGCTTTATTTCTATGTGAAACAAATTTAACTGGTGTTATTAATAGGGTCACTAGTATTAAATAAATTTAATTCATACTTTTTAACCAGATGTTACCTGTGACAATGAAAACTCACTGCCTTGCTTTCTTTCCTGAGATTTTTGCTATGATCTATTTTATTAGTTTTCTGTTAGTATTTAGTATTTCTATTAGTTTTCTTTTTATTAGACCGACTTGTTGCTTAGAATTTTGTTTTATGGCGCTTAATTCCAAGGAGTGATTTATTTTACCTTTTTTCAAACATCCTTTCATTCTCTCCTATTTTATTTATTTAATTTGCCTTTGATTAATCTCCTAATTATTGTACTTTGTTGCATCTATTGTTTTGTTGACTGAGTTACTGCTGCATTGTTTCAGCTGGTATATTTCCTCCCTGTCTTTAATTATGAAAATATTACTTTAACTTGAACCTTTTTTCTGACAGTAACTTCATTTTGCGTAATGTCTGACAAATCACAGCTCTGCATCATTTTTCCTATTTGTCCTGTAATGAAGAAATTTGTATCCCTGGATATTTGTCACTCAGTTTATCAGTTTTTCAATATCCTCCTGCTTTGTCCAATATGTGCATTTTGAGGCTACATAGATTTATCTTACATCTAATATATTTTTTACATCAGGATTTATCTTAATCGGCTACTTTAATTATTTATTCTTTAGGATAAAAATGTAAATCAAATAAGTCAATAACACTACTTTTTCTTCATGCATTAAAGGAAGAAAACCATCGACCAGACTTTAACTTTCCTGTGGGTTTTGAAGATAATATTTTAGGAGAAAATTTGTTGTCAAGAGCTGGAGTCCCAAGCCTACTTACAARTGAGCTTGCACAAAGCACTACTAGTCTCGGCAGTAGCAGCAGCAGTGGAGATGTAGGAAGACAGCATTACAGTGCAGGTGAGATTATTTGGTTTTGTTTTCCCCTGATAACGTCATTATAATATAATGAACAGGGAAAACTGTTGTGTGTGAAATMATTTAAAACAGTGGAAGTAATGATAGTGTGAAATAATTTCAAGTCCTTAGAGATTTACATTTTCCATTCTATACTCTTCTCTTGCAGTGACAAATAGCTAATGTTTCGCTCTCTTTTGAAGGTATAAGAAGCTGATACAATATGCAGGAATTTAACCATAAAAATACTTTCTGTGTATGTGATAGGAGTATTCCTAACTCGTTACAGCAAGGAACACCTGCTCATTTGTGTGAAGTCATAAGACCCTGAAAGTATTAATATTGAAATATTAATACAGAAAAGCGGAACAGTTTGAGAACTGCAAATAGTTGCATAACTTACAGAGCAGATCATTGAGAGAGGAAAGAAGCAAACCAACCAAAACCAAACTAACAAAACAACCCTGTAGTCCATCTGCACAAAAATGCCAAAACAAAAAGTACACACTATAAGTTCTTCATCTCTACCATGGAATGGGAGGTATTGGATACATACTTGATTTGAAGTTATGTAGATAAATAGCTGATGACTGTAAGCAAATAGTCCTTCCCTCCCGCACTGCCACCTGTAAAACTGGATTAAATAAATCTAGTAATTTTCAGTTCAGATTTGATTCACTTAGATTTGATTCTTGAGAAAAAAATACGTGTTTCTGGATCAGCTGTGGAGTTGATTTAGGTCTCTTCACAATACAGTACTTCAGTGATGCAAATATTGTAAAGCCATCTGCATAGTGGAGAGGAAGAACTGTCTTGCATAGTGGAGATAGGTGGCCCTGTCTTGCAAAATCTTGACGAGATGTCTTCTAGGTCCAATTAGGAGGGTTATAAGAACTAACTGTAAAGAGTGGTAGCCAACAAGATATGTAAAATTTGTTCGCAAACCTGATCTTGGACTGAAAAAACAGAGAAGCCTTCTTTGTAAGGAGAGGATACTGGTGGTGAACTTTTAATAGAAAAATTTGGGCTTGTAGAAAATAATTCTGATAATTTTGCTTTCTAGGAGTGATTGCAACCATTTCTTTCTGGTGAATATATTCCAACTCCTTTTCCGCTTTTCCTGAACAAGTCTCATAACCATAAAACCTAGCATTACCRAAGAAATAATATTTGGTTTAGTGCAGTTATCAGGGAAAACCAGAGCAGAGTATTGGTATTGTACACCTTACCTGGTACTGTCCTTACATTTGCTGCTTACAGATGGATGTATTATTTAAGAAATATGATCAACTTTTTAGAGAATATACATTGAACAATCTTACTCCTCTTTCCCAGTCTATTTTTTGTCTTTTTCTTTTACTAATCTGTGATATATTGTGTTAGAAAAATAACCTTGAAATGTTAGTCACAAACATTATATTTATCTATATTGTAATTACAGTGTCAGTGAGTTACAGATACACATATCTTTGGAGATCTTTTGGTACCATTTTTTTGCTGTGGTTGAAGAGCAGTTATTTTCTTTGGGAATGGATTWATTATTCTTTGCTTGAATACAAAACTCAAATGACTCTTTTTGTACAGGTGAAGTTTCATTCCCAAAAAGTATGAAAGTTCTAGATTCTGAGAAATCAGAGCACAGCTCTTCACATAATACTAGTTTATCCAGCATTTTCCAGAACTATGCAATGGAGGTAAGATTAATAAACTCACAGATGAAAACTATAATTATTCAATATTATTGTATGCATTAATTACCTGTTTAGTTGCATTGTGGTTGGTTTTTCCAAAACAATTTTTTCTTTGTTTTTACTGCAGAGATGCTTATAACTTGTAGCTTAGTGTGCAACACCAGCTTTARAAAAGGAGATGTTATAAGTACTTTTATGCATCCCTCATATGTACAGAGAAAAAAATTATGAGGGAAGGATCAAAACTTGAAGTGAAACAGAAGTTAGAGACAAAACAGGATCTTTTGTAGGGTTTTAAATTTTTTTTCCTTATGAGTATTACATGTTGTTACTAAATAATTATGAGGAGCTGGCCACAGCCAGCAGCAAAGCCCTTGCACAGGTATTTGTTTACTCCYCTCTCCAGTAAGAAGAGAAGTGAAAGGTCAGAAGGAAAAAAAGTTTGGAGGTTGAGATAAAGACAATTTAATGAGGGACTTGGGGGAAAAAAATAACGAAAGAGGGAGACACTAACAAAAAAAATAGTAATGCAGAAATCAGTCAGCTCTCTGACACTTCAAGGAARAGCTACCTTAGAAAAACACAGAGTTTTGTCTCTGAGCATGATGTTTCACAGTATCATTTGGCCAACTGAGGACAGCTGTCCTGGCTGTGTCCTCTCACAGCCTCCTGGCACAGAATGAGAAAAGTCCACGATGATGTATATAGTCCTGCTCAGTAATAACTGGAACATTGGAGTGTTATCAATCAACATGCAGCTGGTTACCAGTCTGAAACATGGGACTCTAAAAGAATGCTAACAAGAAAATTAACACTACCCAAGCCAAACCAAATAAYATAATCTTTTAGTATGCTTCTGTATTTCAGTTCTTGTCTATAGAACTTTCAGATTTTGGATACATAGGCAATGGTCACTGTGTTATGGTTGGTTTTCTTTCAGCTGCACAGTTATTTTGCTAGGTCCTATTTTCATTTATGTTTGCTGTTCTGGACATCTAGATTTGCTGAGCTTCTGCACTGCACTATATARGGAGTATAGCATAGTAAAATAAAAATGTCATTGGGCAAATATCTAAATTATATTAGCTCTAAAATTTATTAGAAGCTGTGTTTGATGGTGGTGGGTTTTTTTGGTTTTTCTCCCATGCAAGTGAAACAATGAAATAAGAGGAAAAAGGCGTAATAGTCCATTCTTCAGTTAACACAGGATTAATTTTACCATCTTTTCTCCAGTTCTCTAGTTTAGTGGTGAGACTATTATTAGGTAAAACCCAGTTTTCTGGKTTTCCACTTGKACTGGGTTTGCATGGCRAAGATTTGGTAGCAGAGGGGCTACAGGRGTRGCATCGCTGGGAAGCTGCCACAACTTTGCCCCATGTCCAACAAAGCCAATGCCAGCTGGCTCCAGGATGGACCCACCACTGGCCAAGACCAAGGCTGTCAGTGGCAGTGGCAGCAGTGCTGAGGTAGTGTATTTGAGAAGGGGAAAAAGTGCTGTGCAGCAGCGTCTGGAGGAGAGGAGTGAAAATACATGACAGAAACACCCCTGCAGATACCCAGGTCAGTGCAGAAGGAGTGGGAGAAGGTGTTCCAGGCAGCCAAGGAGAGATTCCCCTGCAGACTGTGGTGAACACCACGGTGAGGCAGCAGTGCCCCTGCAGCCATCAACCCCATGCTAGCGCTGGCAGATGCCCAAAGGTGGCTTACCCTGTAGGTAGGAGCCTTTGCTCCTGGCAGGTCCTATGACCCTATGGGGAGAGGATCCCAGGCTGGAGCAGGTTTGCTGGCAGGACTGGTGGCCCTTCAGGACACCCATGCTGGAGCAGCTAGGAAGAGCTGAAGCCCATGGGAAGGGCTTATGTTGGAGAAGTTTGTGTAGGAYTGTCTTCTGTGGGAGGATCCCCACAGTGGAGCAGGGGAGGAGTGTGAGGAGGAAGGAGCATCAGAAAAAATACAGGATGAACTGATACAGTCCCCATTCCCTGTTCCCGTGTGCCACTTCAGGGAAGGAGGAGGAGAAGTCAGAAATGAAAGTTAAGCCTGGGAATAGGTGTGGGGAAGGTGTTCTAAAATTTGGGGATAATATCTCATTACCCTATTTAAACTTTTGATTAGCAGTAAATTAAATTAAGTTCCCCTAGTCAAGTCAGTTTTGCCTGTGACAGTAATTGCTGAGTGATCTCCTTATCCCTGTTGTGACTCACAAGCCTTTTGTCATATTTTTCTTCCCTTATTCACTTGAAAAGGCAGATTGATAGGCTTTGGTGAGCAACTGGCATCCAGCCAGAGTCAACACACCACACTATTATAAAGGTTTCTTTTGTGTTTAATTGGTTTTGTGGGATTTTTTTTCTTTTTTGGATAAGTAGACATGAATTTACTTATACAATTCAAAACAATTGGTATATGTTGAAATCTTCATAGAAGCAATTAATTGCAAATGCTAAATTAGTAGCTTTTTATGGTAATAATTCTTCTGTGTCAAAAATAAATTACTAATATCTTCATTTCAAAGGTAAAAGATAATGTGGTTGAGAATTCTGACTATGATGAGAAGGAAGTGGTGAACTYATTTCTCCCACTGGCTTTCTGATGTGTGCTAAACTCCTATGGGTRCTAAGCCTGTAAAATAAATAGTATTGTTAAAATTCATTCTTTGATAGTATTCACTCTTTGCTGTTCTAGGTCTTGATGTCAAGCTGCTCTCAATGTAGAGCTTGTGGTGCTTTGGTTTATGATGAAGAAATTATGGCTGGGTGGACAGCAGATGATTCAAACTTGAACACTACCTGCCCTTTCTGTAAAAGTACCTTCCTRCCTTTGCTTAATGTTGAATTTAAAGACCTTCGTGGTTCTGCAAGGTCAGTGCATTTTATAGATACTCTCTTTCTGGCTTTGTAACTGTGCATGGTTATATTTTTTCACAAGATGATCTTGTGATATCCCTCCCAGTCTAGATGTAGGCAAGAATGCTACTGCCTATTCGATGATGGTGATTGTACTGAAAGAAATTATAAGTCATGTAAAGTATTGAGTTGAATTGTAAACCAGCCAAATACCAAAGAACTGGTTGCCTTTTTATTGCTTTTTCCTTTCAWATTTTCCTTRTAAGYATAACTGTAYRAAAGATTGTTTTCATTTTGTTTTGATTTTAAAACAAAGCCTATGGACCTTAAACGTTATAAAAGCATATGAAGAAGTTTTTAAATCTGTCAGCAAATAATTTTTCCCATATCAAATCTGCTAGCAGCTTTTAGTTCCAGATGCTCCAGCTTATTGTTTTCCCAGTTTAAGCTTCTCTGCTTACTGTTTTTACCTSTTCTAGTTGCACTGTGAAAAACGGAACTTAAAGTTAAGTTCCAGTTCTCTCTGTAATGGTTATTGCTGTGAAACAGAGATTYCACTAGTGTTCTCTAATGCAGAAATTTAACATCTCTAGGAACWGTAGAGTGTGTACTTAGAAGACATAGCAAAGCAAGACACATTCATGTTGTTGTGTGGTGTATGATCATGTATTGTAATGTCACATTACAATAGCAACYATTTTCAGTGATGTGTCAGCTGTTAATACACTTTGCTGATTTGGAACCATGACAAACTACGGTCACTTGTAATCCTACACTGGACATAAATCATTATTTCTTTTGCAGATCAAATCTCTCTATGTATTAATTTACTCCAACTGCGTAAGTTGCAGGGGTGAGAGTAGGATGAAATTTGTTTCCTGTTGTCAAGCATTTTAATGTTGTGTTTCCTTTTTTTGCTACTTTTGAAAAGTAAATGCAGAACATATGCTTATATCTTTACCTTTGTATTTTTCTCCCCTCCCWTTCATGTTGTAACTTTAGCTTTTTCCTGAAGCAAAGTACCTCAGGAGATAGTTTACAGAGTGGTACCCTTCCATCAACCACGGATCCCCTGGAGGAGAAACTGTTGTCCAGTCCAGCCGATGCTGACCTGATCAGTTTTTCAGATCAYGTGCAGTCCAGCCCCACCATAGCTGAAGAAACTAGCTGTTCAGCTGAGCACGGGTAAGTAAAACAGGATTGTTGGTTCTGTCAGAAAAGCATCAGTACTTCCATACTTATAAGGGTAAGATTGGCTTTCACACCAAGTGTGATGGAGTACAATTGTAACTTGAGGACCGTCTCCTTCTTCTCACTCTTCTTGCATGTTTTAAGCATGTTTTCATCAGTTTGAAGTAAATTCATTCCACCAAGTGAGTAGGTTTCAGAGATACAGCTATAGAAATAAAACTTTGTGTCCATCTGCTATTGATAAATAGGTAAAACACCTACTCAGTGTGGTTAAAACATTGTCACCTTTTAAACTCACTCAGACATTCAAGCATTGCTTCACCTCTCCTTGTATGTGTGATTTAACAAGAAGGACACTGCATCATGGGGAAAAAATAAGTCAATTTGTGGGAACACTTTGAGAGAAAGCTCTGGGAGCACTCAAGACTTGTGCTGAGCCTGTGTTGTGTGACAAAACAAAACCTATGTAAAACTGAAGCTCTGAAAAACAATACTGCTTCTGAAGCAATTTGAGGGAAAAAGGCATTAAGGGGAAGGTGTCATGTTAGAAGAGGGAAGAACTGAAATAATGCTGCTATGAATTGTGACCTTTTTGCTGGGATTGGTTACATTTTGTTGTAATTGTTTGGGGCTTTTTTTAATCATTATTCAATTTGAAATTCTAGAGTATTAGTGTCTGAGAGTGATGATACTTGTGTAAGACAACTAAAACTTTAATGAATGCAATAGCAATTAGTCTTAATACTCTAAACATGAAAGGTGGTATTGCTTATGTTAACATCTGTAAACTTGATGACATCTGTTTTTAACTAAACTAAAATTTAGGACTGAAAGTCACCTGTAAATAATCTCTTCTCTCTCTTTTTGCAGATTATGTGAAAGCAGACACTTTCTGTTTAACTTTGTATTGTAGTTGGACTGTTTTTATTTCAGTTATAAGGAGTACAAAATGAATATTCCCAGATCTGCAAATGGCTTGATTGCATGTGTTAAATCTTACAAGCCTGAGCTTCCTTAAATTAGCTTGCTGGATGAGTTTGACACAATTTTTTTTTAATCATTTTGGCATGCAATTCTTACATTGCTTTCTGTTACACTGTTGTTTATGACACTTAGAACATAAAGGGAAGAGGAAGTAAAACTGAGCATAGTAAAAACAAGATAATCTTCTTGGCTAACAAAACTGTAGACTGCTGTTTTTCGAAGCAAGGTAGAGCTGTATCAGAGCAGTGGCATCTGTACAGAACTGTGGTGCTTTCAGATTCATGTTTTGGGTTATACCTAGCTGCTTTTCTGGAGGGATGTTTATACCAGTCTGAGAGGCATTCTGTTCTGTGTTCCCTAAACTATGGAGCTAATGGAGCTAACTGGGAAAATATAATTTGTTATTAATAGAGAAAAGTGGTTTGGGATCTTTACTTGACTTCCTTCCTGTTGCCATAGAAATGCTGAATGGTTTTATATTTCATATTAACATATTTTCTTCTAAAATTCACACAGTGGTGCGGCAGAAGAAGAGACAGATCCCAGAACCATAAAGACACAAGCCAATAATCCACCAAGAAGGGTAGTATCCTTGACTCGGAGCCACAGTGTTGGAGGTCCGCTGCAAAACATTGATCTTTCCCAGAGACCATCCCATGGCATTTCAACAGTTAGTCTTCCAAATAGTTTGCAAGAAGCTGTGGTAAGTCTAGAAACTGCATATTGAGTTGAGAGAAAAGTATTGAAGGCAAGAACTTAATAATATTCTACTACTAGTATCTTATCCATTTGGGGAATGGCCAAGCATATTTTCGCCTCTTTRCAACTGAAAGAAATCTTAGTTCAGTTAATCTAAAATTGCCTTTTCAATACTTTGTACAAACAATTCTGCTTGGTTTGAAAAATTCTCTCTAATAGAATGAAGCTAGCGTTTGTCTCTCTAAAATGGGAAGTTTAATAGTAAAGCAAGTCTCCTACAGCARACTAAACACAGGAGTGCAAACAACACAAGAGAATGTAAGAGGCTGTATTGAGACTCTTACCTTACTTGTTTCTCCTCTCTCTTAGTGCTTTTTATTATCCAGAAGCTGCCTTAACATATGAATTTATTATTCAGTTCCACAGCTGATGCMATTACTGACATTTCTCTTCAATTTCCATTGCTGCAGGTTTGGTACTGGCTACCAGCTTAGATAGCTTGAAACTGCACAATCAGGAACAAGATCTAACAGATTAGCATTTCTTTCTGGTTCACATAATAGCAAGAGCTTACTTAGATTATTGATCTTTAAAGTTAAACCTCCAAAAGTCAAAACTGCTGTGCTTTAAAATTTCTATGTGTTCAGTAGTTCCAGAGTCAAAAGAAACTCTTCAATGAAGGTTTCCAGGGCAAGTAATCCCGAAAAGTAGTTCTGGAAGAAAAATCTTACTATATTTTATAAAAAAAAA